CAACAACAACAACAACAACAACAACAACAACAACAACAACAACAACAACCACAACCACAACCACAACAACCACAACCACAACAACCACAACCACAACAACCACAACCACAACCCATCAAAAACTGCAAACTGCGAAACAGGGGTGGGCAGCCCGATCCATAGATGGCTGAAGCTTGTGATGTGGTGTGGAGTGCCGAGGCCTTCAATCTCTGTCTGCGGCTCTCGTGCTTCGGACCAAACCTAATGCATTTTGGTGCACTCTTCGTTAAACAGCCTTGCTCGGGGTGAGCGTGCTGGTGGTGGGGGGAGGTGAATCTTGCAAGTCATTGCTCGTGCAATTAAAGCTTGTTTCAGCCTGTAGCATCGTTAGCATTCTGGATACGGCACAGCCGGCTACTGGCCGATCGCCAGTCCCTGGACATGAAACACAAGTCCAAACAAACAAATTTTTTGAAGTGTCCCTGTCCACGCATTCCGACATGTTTCCTGTTTCAGTACTCTATATTATATGTAATGTCCTTTTGTCATCTACATTATGGCAGTTCAAATCGGGGTCACTTGGTTGGAAAGGTGTTAACTGGTTCTTCTCCCAGTTTGAGAAAGATCACGAGTTGAAAAAGTTGGGAATGTTGATTGTGAATGTGTGTGCCTTGTGATGTGTGATGTTGGAACCATCCTACTGAGTGTTTTCGAAGACTTTCTCTATCTCTCGCACTCTAGTGAGCCTCTCCTGTGCAAGGCTAAGCCAGCCCCAGCCCAGGCCCAGCCAGAGGGCCACAGGCGACATCAGCGCAGTCGTCCAAGGGATATGATGAGCTGTGGAGATCCACATCGAACACATACCAAAAACCCATTGAACATAGCAAGAACCAGTGGGGAGTCTGGAAAAAATCATCGGAAAATACAACACACTGTTGAGATCTGTTGAGCAGTATATCTTTCACTCTCCTTAAGCAGTTATTTCAACTGGACCCATCGGCCCATGAATCCCGGCTTGCACCGCACCGCCGGTGGTCGATGGCAGCGACCAAAGAACATCACCGTCTTTGCGGTCCCAGTGAAGCAACAAATCATCTACAGGGCTGGTGATGGCTGGTGACGACTGTGATGTTCCTATTGCATATCGAGATCTTAGTCTAAGAGAATCCCCTCTCACTCCAGTCTCTGAAGGTAGGAGGAAGCGGTGGCAGTCCCATTCCATGCTGTTTTCACGGCGCGGACGTTTAAAGCATCTAAACACATTAATATTGATTTGAATCGAGGATGGGTAGAAGCTGCCCTGTTGCTCACAGCACTAGTTGCGTGGGGTTTGCTCATGCCTTACGTTTCGATCAAGGCCAACCTCATCCCATGGGGCAAGCTCAAGTGATTTTGGTTTTGGTGAAAACATTGGCTGTGCTGAGCCTAAAGAGATGTTCTGCGCAAAGCAGCACCCTCCGAACTCTCCACCTCGATTCCTGGGCCTGAAGGATCCACCCACCGAAAAAAAGCAAGACAGGCACAACATGGCACAACTCACCTTTACCTTTCTGGCCTTTCGAACCACCAAACACCAAACACCAACACCCAGCAAACCACCTCCAAAGATGGGTGGAACACCCCCCAGGTCAGGTCGACCGATGGGCCACGACAGGTGGCCCTTCCCCCGGGAAGCCGGGCCGTCGACCCATGCGTCATGCCGGTGAGCCGAAACGGAACGGGGAGATGGGCAATCCATACGGGTCAAGGCCGGCACTTCGCCCCAAGGCATCCTCCCCCCACCGTCCCAGCCCTGACAGGAGCCGCACAGGAGCTTTGCCTGAGTTGCAGGGGGTGAGCACAAGACATGACTGGATCCTCTCAAGCTCCTTCTGAAATTGTGTGCTATGTGCCGTTGAACCATCAACAGGTCGGTGCGCTTCCCGAACAAATGCATCTCAACAACGAAAAGGTTTTAGCTCCCTATAGTTCTTTCTTTGGATGGGCCAGCAAAGCACCTCTCTGCTATTGGATGGGTGACAGATCTAGACTTCAGCCTGGCTGGTGGAGCTGTCTTCAGCTCCGAAGCCAGTTGGAGCCCATGCGAGCAGTTGATGCCGGGGGAAGTCCTCAGCCTCCATCCTCCACAAGAGCGCGCGCGCGTGCGGCCTCCGGTGCCCCGCCTGCCAGCTGGGCTTCTGCCGCCTGTGGCGATCTGGCTTCACAGCTCAGACTGTCTGCTGTATGAGATCAATGGCTTGTACGAGTCCTCTGATTGGATCGTTACTGATAGAATCTTTAGATCTATTGTTTTGGTGCAGGGTGGGCTCATCACTTTCCTCAAATGGCCGAGGGATCTTGCAAAACATCAAACCAAAATGGAGAATCTCACAGGTCACCAGCATCAGCACACCCAACCATGTCACATCCTTGATCTCCAAAATTGTATGAGGAGGGGAGACAGCCAAACAAAATCCACGTGCACCATCTGTTCACCATCTTAACTAAGTGTGAGCTTTCTCAGGCCTTTTCCAAGACGTCATACTCAGTCATACCAGGAGTCACAAGACGGGGTGCCGAACGAACGGAGGATGGGGTGCCCCTGTCACATCCACTCGCTGGATGGATGGGACTAAAAACCACCCCGTCTTATCACTTCTGGTGAGTTCGATTTTCACTTCGAGCACCGCTTTAGCGCCACCCCTCTCCAGCCTCGCGTAGCAGCGCCTCAATGCCCAAAGCGAGGTTCAGGCGTTGCCACCTGCGGTGCCGCTGCCGAAACCGGTGCTGAGTGTCGAAGGTTGTTGGGCTTTGGCGGGTTTTTTAGATGTTTTTGGCAAGGAAGAGGGTCCGAGGGTCTTTCAATGTACAGTGATGTCTGGTCCGAGATGTACAGTAAACCGTTAGGGGGGGCCGTCTAAAAGTTCATTTCACAAATGTCCTGGATCATGCCTTCCATCTGGTCCAGTTCGACGATTCAGTTTCTATGATGAATAGGGTATATTTTGGGTCTATCACCTGTAACAGTGGATGATGATGGTTAGTAAAGGCCTTGTTCAAAAATTATGATAATCGTTTACTGACTGTTGCAGGTAATAGGACAAACCCTAGGGTATATTAAAATTATCAATTCTCTCCTCCACTTGTTCAACAAACCGTCAGACCCTCCGTGGCCGAGGACCCCAGGGACCCCAGGCTGAGCATCGGTGAGCTTCGCCAAGCGGGTTAAGCTGTGGATCTTCTGGCGCTGAAGTAGCTCCAAGGCTTCCTGGAGGTCCTCAAGGGGGTGGACATTGGGGTGAAGATTCGACCGCCAATTTGGGATTTAACAGGTGATTGAAGCAGGCGAAACGGTCAAAACCAGGAGCCCTAAACCAGGGTGGTTGACCATATCAGGTAGTCTATTCTGTTCATTCTTGGGGATCAAGCAGGGTTCCCCGATTTTGACCCACGCCCATATTGTAATATTAATTCATACTATATTATAGGCTAGGCGAACTGCTGTCTTGTTCTCAATATTTTAGGTATAAGTTCACAGTCAGATGGAAGGACAAGGACAAGGAAAAGGAAAAGGAAAGGGAAAGGAAAGGAAAAGGAAGAGGAAGAGGAAGAGAAAGGGGAAGAGGAAGAGGAAGAGGAAGAGGAAAAGGACAAGGAAAGGAAAAGGAAAGGAGGGCCAAAAGTTGTGTAGCAGAGCCGCTCGCAGGGACAAAAGTTAGGGGTCCGTTTTGGGGTGAAGGGATCTAGATATACGGTCATATGTGGGGGGGGGGAGGCGGCGTAATCCATTCGCTCCCAAAACGGAGCCCCAAACCATTGGCAGATCATGATGCATACCGCACACATGTTAAATTGACGCCGTTACATTATCATGAAGCGTTTACATGGAAAAAACGGTGTAAAGAATAAAATGCCTGTAGCGAGGCGACTGTCCTAAAAAGAGGCAGGGGAAGAAGAAGAAGGAAGGAATAGAATGCCTGTAGTCAACAGGTCGCCCTAAAAAAAGGGAAATCCAAAAGCAAAAAGAAGACATCAAAGTCAAAGCCAAGAGAAAGAACATCATAGAGAAACATGGACTGCGGACAGGGAACTGGGGGCAGGGGACTTGGGACAGGGAACTGGGGGCAGGGAACTGGGACAGGGAACTGGGGACAGGGAATTGGGGGCAGGGAAGTGGGGGCATCAAACTGGGGACAGGACTTGGGATCATGCAAAGCCGTGACGTTACATAAAGATAGTGGTACGTGCTAGCTAGGGAATGCACTAAAATAAATAGACTGAGCGTCGCGCTTGCAAATTTTTAGCTGTCATCAAATGGACGGGATCGTCGTGCACGAATTAGGAGCGCTTTGGCTCCGCTTTGTTGATGTCCACCTGGGGGATGATGTCGATTATCGACAACTTAATCCCCTTTTCGCCCTTTTCATCGCACCACGCCTGCGGGGGAAAGCGAGCATCGAGAGAAGATCGAAACAGAACATAAACAAAATAACATAATGATTGAAAGTTAGCCTTCCGTCAACTGTACGCGAGCGTTTCGTCTTCAAAATCCCATGCCTCCAGCCGCTGAATGCGCCATTCTAAATTAACCATCGCCCTCCGTGGAGTACAAGTCATTGCCTCAGGACACGTTGCGTTAACACGAAGCCATTCAAACGAATTTCATTTTGCCGTTTATTGTGCATTATTTTCAGCCAAGCTGCCTGCAACCACGAGGGCGATCCTGTCGCCGCGACGCCGAGCTTTTGACCATAAGTGCCACCAAAACGCGTCGTTGGAGAAGCCTTTCCCCCACGCCGGGTATAGACAGGCAGCCCAAACGACGCTTCAGCTATGGCACCGTCATCGCGATCCTGGACGGAGCGGAGAGTTAAAGACATGAAACGACCTCAAACACTCACGCGAATGGTTAAAGAAATTTCACCCCGCTCCTGAGATAGAGGATCGCGAACTGCCACCAAAGACGAGTCGCTGAGAACCATGTCGGGACTCAACTCCTGGAGAAAACGACGTTTCAACTCAAAGTGCGTTTAACACATGACTTACGCTGCCTGAGTTTCAACAAACCCCTTTCAAGCCGCCATCAAAGGGGCGAGAGACCCCGCGAGCGCGACGACCCCCTCCGGCTTCAAGTGGTAGCCGTCGATGTGGAACGGCGTACCCGCAACAAGAAATCAGCAAGCAATGCTCACCAGAGAGAAAAATGAGTTTGTACTTTGGCGTTTTCAGAGCGCGTTCACGTCGGTCCTGGGATCTGAGCAATCTCGAGGATCTCCGCTGCCATTTTGCAGCGTGCCCGGGCATGATCCCTGATCACTGAGACGTTTCGCGCTCACCAGTGCACACGCACAAAGGCATCCAAGGTACTATCACATCAAACGCATCCAAGGTACTTGATAAGCCGGCATCCTTCGTGAGGCGGGCGCGATGCTCTGGTGGACTTCGCTAATGCTCGGGATTTAAGGCTGCGTCGATCGCGTGACGCGGTTTCCATTCAGCAGTGATTTCCCTAATCACTGATGTATCTTCACTGGTGTTCACCCGCGAATATCGCGAAGGTCGGCATGTTTCTTTTCCAGGATCGAGTTTCGCGTCGCCGCGGCCTCTAAATCACCCAGCGACCGAGCGGTCAGCAGATTCAGCCGTATATATAAAATGGAATCACCGTCGAAACGGCCATAACAATAACAAATTCCCAGGGCTCATCAGCTGAAAAGTTATCAAACCAGATGAGCTGTTGGCTTTCCTCTTAGACCGCTTGGGAGGGCCGGTGGGCTCACCTGGCTTCCAGCCTTCAAAAAAAGGATCATCGCGACGGATGGTTGCCACCGAATGTAAATCTCTAGACTGGACTTCACTCCTGCCGTTAAATTTTGCACAGATATTTGCATCCGCAAAGACCTGCGCCATAGCGGCAGTTGCAGCTGGATCTAAAACTTTAAGAGCTTCCCGATGTATACGGTAGCCTTCGGGCAATGCACTTTTGCAGAGCTGAGTGAAGCCTGCCTTCGTCCAGAACTCCGGCCCGGACGGTTTCTTCATAAACCATGCATCCATGCAACGACGACGCTCCTGTTTCGAGAGCGTGCCGCGACCCGGTTTCGAGTCCATAATCGAATCGTAGCACTCATTTGCGGCATCGAGTGCCTCACACAGTGGATGCCCCAAAGCGTTTGCCAGAGCTGCGTCTGAATCTTTCGGCCTGAGTTGCGCGCTGCCAGCTGCGTACCCAGTTTTCCCTCTTTCGGTTTACATTGCTGAACTGCTGATAGGAAACTTCCTTTCGCCAAGGCACTGTCCACAAGCTGGAGTCTCTGTGCCTTCTGCTGCGATCGCTGCCATTGGCGTCCTTAGATTGATACAAAAGTTTCTCACACAACAGCTGGAAAAACAACGCCCACCAACAAGAACACGGACCACTAGGCTTCGTCCTCTTAGGCTTCCTTGACATGCGAGGTCGATGCCATGTCCTCAGTTCAGCGACCAGGCAGAAACACGCAAAGCGAACTTTGGCTGAACGTCGCCAGGCCGCAAACCACCGAAGTTTTCAGCGTTGGAGCCCCGTTTGAAGCAAGTCGCGCGAGAGAGCCAACTGCGGGACACGAAGATGTTCTGGGAATTGTCGGCTCTGGTCGACTCTTAAATTCCATCCCCCAAATTCCATTCCATGGCATGCATCCAGGATTGAGCGATGGAGCAGGATAAGGTCGGACCAAGGCCTGTGTGTTGGGGGTCGTGCCCGCAGGGAGGGGTGTTGCATCGGTGGCGTCGAATCTAGAATCGCACCATGCAGAAGCCAAACATAGATGACTCTTGAATAAGTTTGATATAAGATTATCTTTGATCTTCTTAAGGTACGGCAAAAGGGAGGAGAAATGAGCCAGGCTAGTGGGGCCCAGGTGTCACTTGGCCAACCAGCGACCCCGCCAGGGTGGTGATGTCTGGTTCTAATCTGTCACCGGGCACCACCGAAATCTCCATAAACGCTGCCATCACCCGCTTTGACGCACGACACACGACACACGAAGCATGGCCTCTGCATCCTCCGGGTGCTCTGCACTGAGCTGTTGGATGAAGTCCTCATCCGCGGAACGCGGAACCAGCGGCGCGAGGCGTGGTGCTCGCGTGGAGGCTTGGCGGACTAGTCATCGTTCGGGGAGTCTGGTGGTGTTGCTCCTCGAATGATGACTGTTGATACAAAAGAAAGTAGTATATGTAATAGTCGTTATATGTGATATATGATAGTTAATTTGGGTAGGTAGGCCAAAATGGTAAAATCCAAGTCTGCCAGAAAATCAAGATCGTAATAATCTGATTTAGATTACCACAAACAAAAACAAGGTTTTGGAGGTATAATGATGACAAGCATGCATCATGAACCGTAACTATATATAAAGTTCAAGTCCCAAATCTCACCCAGAAAGCTTCAAACATAAATGCAGCAGATTCTTTTTCTGGCTCCTGACTTGCTCTGGAATGTGTTCCTTAACATTTGTGCTTAACATTGTTTAACATTGTCTTGCAAATGAAAGCAACATGAAGGCAAATTCAAGCAACATGAAAGCAAAGGACATGAACTCCAAAGGAGACGGTTATTGAGGGATATTGACCGCCCACGAAAAACTATGATGCAGCTTAAATGAATAAAGAAACTCTACAAGAATGGGTTTAGATCTCAATTTGTGGGGGGGGGGTGTTCTTCGTCATGCAACCCACATCCTAATTTTATGGTACAACAAGTTGGATCACCTCATCGACCCGCTCCTCGAGAGATGCCATGGCCGATGTGAGATCACTCACCGTGGCGGGTTGTACTGCGTCGAGGCTGAGTTGTACTGTTGTGGTTGTCGTCTGGCGGTCGGGGAGTCCGTCAGTGAAGGTCCGTCCGCCAGGTTGGAGTCTGGTTGGGATCTGGTTGGGATCGGCTTATGGGTCTGAGAATTCCTTCCACAGAAGTAGCAAAACCTTCTGAGAGCTTGAAAACCAGTTCCCTGGTATGGCAGGCAGCTAGACACGAGCCACACATGGAATGCTGCTCTGCCATGGACCGAACATTTGTCCGAAGCTGAAGCTAGTCAGTGAGTCATCAACGGCTAAACCCAAAGTGCCAAATTCAACTACAGGCACAAGTGACATACAGTAAACCTAGATTCCTATAAGCATCATGCCTCGCTGCCTCGCAGTCCGCGGCTGTTCGCTGGCGGTTTGGCCCTGATTGGAAATCACTTGCAGTGGCTGGATGGGCAAGGCTTGAGGAGGTTGGACCTCTCCACCGAGGCCATCAGCCTTGAAGCTTCTGCGAGGCCGGGCTTGATCGTCGACGTGTTTTCGCCTCCCAATTTCTTCACGCTTGGGTGAGAATGAAAGCATGGAAAAGCATGGAAACAGGATGAAAGACCAGAAGGAGGGAACATTCAGAGTCTGGGATCCAATTATACATCCAGCTTTGGGGCAGTATTTGTAAATGTTTGTAAATTCCGGGTTCACATTGACCCTCCAAGATCCAAGTGGAAGGGCTTATGCACGAGGCTCGAGCGCGGGTCGGCTTTAGTTTGGAAGATTGCATCAGTTGCTGTCCCATGTTTTGAATCTCACATACAGAACTCCGATATGGGCGTGGATGAACACTTCGGCAGTCTGACTACAAAAAAAAAAACACGCAGCTGACACTTCTATAGGAGTCATGTTCTAAATACATACAAAATCATGGCAAACTCATGTAACATCGGTGCAGTCGTCCTGACCAAACAGCTCAGCTCACCTTTTCTTCTCCGCCCGGAATCGGGACACGAACTCCCCTGAACGTGCGACGCGCGCGATGATCGCACGAGAAAACGCCCGGCTGTACAAGGATGGGGCTCTGCTCGTGCTTGGGCTGTCAGGAGAACCCTGCTATATCCTCCTGGAACCCCAAACAACCAGAAAGAAATTGATTTCCCATGTAAAGGATTTCAATTGCCCATATTGGAACAACCATTTGTTTCTGGTTGATTGGGGTTCCAGGCTGCGATACACTCCCTGGAACTGGCCATGGAAGTGAACCCCCGCGTTTCTAGAGGAAAATGGTCTCCTTTCGGGGCGATGGATGGCATCCGCGTAACCATGTTCCTTCGCAGGAGTGTTTTCAAACATGAACGAATCCATGTGTCCGTTGTAAAACACTCCAAATGGAGGAATTGAGAGTGGTCATAGATGGTCATGAGTCATGGTGTCATATATGAACACTTTACAGTTTTGGAATGAATTTAGTTCATCAGCAATGAAATCGTGATGGTTGGACTTTTACTGCTCCCTGGCCAGGATTGAGCCAGGTGATGAATGGATTGATTTGCAAAGAAGCCCCCAACCCAAATCCGCAAGGCAGATACAACTAACCATTGGATTCCAGTACAACTAACCAGGGCAGGTACAACTATGCAGGACCCTACAGGGTCTGCCTTGATTCCAGTACACACCCGAATCACCCGAACACGATGCAAAACACAGAAATACAAACAACACATGAACAACTGTTGTCAGTGATCAAGCACAGAAGGCCTGGGATCAAGCATTGAAGGTCAGGGCCAAGGTTGTTCTCCAGACACCCGAGGTCTCGTGGCTATGTTCGTGACTGGTGTCTCTCAGCCGATGGACAAATACGAAAAGGGGACCTTCCGAAATCCGTTCAGGACACCTTCGACTTCTGATGTTGAGACTCGTCAGACACCCCCCCATGTTGGGGACAGTCCTCACTACTTCATGAGCTCATCTTCAATGCCCATTGCCGCTTGGGAGGAGGCTGCGACATCCGCTGAGAGGCTTCCTCCTGTGCGCAACGGTTGTCAATCAGCTCCACGAAAAGGGTGAAAATTACAAAAGTCCAAACAATACCTTGCACGTCTTAGCGGTTTAGTTTTGGTATGTTTTGTTGATCAAGGGAAAGCTGTCAAATCCCAAAAGTGGCCAATTAGTCCAGAATCATTTTCTGAACAAAAGGCTTGGGGAACACAGGCAGCGAGGACCGATGTGACCATCAAGCTCGTGCACCCTACTTGGTGCTCAATCAAGCATTGCAGGCAGTATAGACGTGTTTTGCTCTTCTTGATTTAAAAGTTATCTTTAAACATGTATCAAGTTGAGATATTTTGTTCGATTTGTCACCTCTGTAACCTTCTCAAAGTCACCTCCCCTGCACATGCAGGAATACAATATTCTCCTATATATATATATATATACACACGTTGTGGAAATGAATAACTATTAAGAAAAGAAAACCAACAACAACAACAACAACAACAACAACGACAAGGATACAAAACTGACTGATCTCCGCTGATCTCAATCAAATGTGGAAAATGATTGATCAAGAGGCCTATGTCCAATCCAAAAAGCACACATCTGTTCTAACCCCCAGCGTCCTCCAACGGAGTCTCAGCCGGCGCAGCTCCGGGACGCCGGGGCAAGAACGGCGTCGGCGATGCCGCCGCGGCCGCAGCTGGCGCAGCCGCCGCAGGCGCGGGCGGTGCGGGGGCACGTTGCGAGTCGCTGCGCGTCTGGCTGTTCCGTGGTTGCTTGGGGCGTGGCTCGTCGAAGTCATCGGCAGAACGTTTGCTGCGGCCTGGGAGGCCAGGTTTGGGGCGGACTTTGGAGGGGGGTGATACACAAATTGCCAATGGGTATATACTGCGTATATATACATGGCATCTGTATGAATGTAGGTGGTCCATCCCAAAGAAACGAAACATAATCTACCAGCAGGTGCCCAAAATCCTAGAAAATGCTGGACCTTTGGTGTGTTGCGAGCCTTCAAAACATTGCAAAAAGAAACACCAAGTTTCACGGCCAGAACGCAACTGAAAGAAATTGCCACTATAATCAAAAAGAAGGGGTGGACCGTTCGCCCCTGTTTGCAGCATTCATTTCCGCTTCTTCTTTCGCTGTTATTGTTTGGAGAGGTGGCCTGGGGGCGGGAATGTCTTGACTGACGCGCTTGTTGTTCCTAAAGAGAGGGGTTGTTTGTGGAATGTCTTGAGACTTTTTATAGCCTTTCAAAGGACCCAGTTCAGCATCTCAGATCTCACAGCACATTTTTACAGTTGATTGCCAAGACGGAGCGCTCGGCGGAGTCTCAAACCCACAAGACCCGCAGCCGCGTCCCTGCTTGCCCGGCCTCGTCCTCGACCTCCTGGAGATGTCTTGAAGCACTGGGCATCATGTTCATTCATTTTCCCATCTAAGAATCTCATATTGGGGTTTGTCCAAAATACCTCCTCCCAAAAACCACTCTTGCGCTGGCCTTGGGCCAACCTTGTGCATCTCTTGTGCGAACGCAATAAAGCAACGGTTTCTGTTCAATTGTCTAG